CGAAAGTGTTCAAGCTCTGTAATTGCATGGCCTGAGCTTAAGGCCCCTCCCCCAGCTCAGAGCCGTCAGTGGGCTCTTGCCTGGCTATGGAGCGGGGTCTCCATTCAGGGCAAGCCACTGGGGGGAGTGCAGTGGTCTGCCCCACTTCCCTGCCCTCTTGGGCCTCAGAGGCCAGCAGCTGGGACGCAGAGCCGCCCAGGTGGTTGTGTGAGGCGGGGCATCTGAGGCCTGCAGGCAACAGCTGGGCCCCAGACGGCAGAGGCAGCAGCTGCAGCACAGGACAGCCTTGTGCTCGTGGAGCCCTGGGCTCAGGGCCCTCGGGGATCCCCAGGAAGGAGCCGGCTGTGTGATATGGGGCCGTCCCAAGTCCAGGCAAGGGCACTGGGTCTGGAGCTCCTGGACATCCTGAGGACCTGAAGGCCCAGTCCCAGGTGGGATCCCCTGCACCACTGACTGTCCCCACCATACCTTCCTCCCCAGGGCCTGCCTGCCAGTCTGGGCCCCAAGCCTGCCTCAACTTGGGCCCTAGCTCTTGCTTCCTGAAATGTGCCATCTCTGACGCCCCCTTCCCAGGAATTGGGCACATGTCCATGTGTGGACCACAAGTCTCATTGGCCCCCTCTGTGCTCCCTTCCTTATATCTTCCTCCCCAAGGGACCAGCCCCTGAACCCCCATCCTATACCTGGGGATGCTGCTCTGAAATAGGCAGAGGCCCCCCTCTGGGCTCTCATTTTCCCAGGCCTCCTTGCACCTGGGCATGCATGAGATCTAAGCTTGACCAGAAGCACCTGCAGCCCACCTGAATGGGAGCCAGGAAGCCAAGAGGCAGGAATGATACAGAACCCACCCTGGACATGGCAATGGGGGGGGCTGGTAAGCAGAAGCGTGGGTCCCATGTCCAGCATATGTGGTGTCCCTGGCCCATGGGACCACTGCAACAAGGCAATTTGGGACATTGTTCCTGCTTCTCCTCCTCAAGCTTGAGTGTTGGCCCTCCAGACATTCCATGAGCCCCCTGTGCCCAGGACCTCAGTCTACCTTGGTGTCTGAAGGATGGCCAGCATCCACCAGGGAGCAATAACTATCAAACAAGTCCTGCCTCATTTCATGCTCTCATGACCCTGGAAGGCAGGTACTGTTCTCGTCTCCACCTTACACATAACAAGCCTGAGGTTCAGAGAGCCAGCTGCAGGCCCAGCAGCAGCAGAGCCAGGCCCTGAATGCAGAGATAGGCTCTCAGTCCCGCAGCTACATCTCTTAGTGTGTGGGCCCCACAGACATCTGTCTAATGAGTGAATGGGGGCATGTACATCCCATGTCCCAGCAGGATCTCCAGGGTAGGACCAGCCCACCACGTTCATTCACCTGCCCCGCATCCCTGCCAGTCACCTGGTGCCTCAGGCCCAGCCTGCTGACCATCATTGGTTAGACCCATTGGTGTTTGGGGTTTTTTAGGTAAAATTCATAATATAAAACCACTTCAAGGTGTACAATTCCATGGCATTTAGTACATTCACAGTGTTATGCAACCATCAACATGATCAATTTTAGAACATTTTCGTCACCCCAAAAAGAAACCCTGTACCCATTAGCAGTCACTCCCTGTTCCTCCCTGTCCCCTGGCAACCAAAAGTCTGCTTTTCTATCTCTATAGATCTGCCTATTCTGCATATTTCATGTAAATGGAATCATAAGATATGTGGCCTTTTGTTTCTGGTTTATTTCACTTATCTTAATGTTTTTAAGGTTCGTCTGTGTCATGGCATGTGTCAGTACTTTGTTCCTTTTTATGGCTGAATAATAGTCCATTGTATGAAAAAAAAAAAATAGTCCATTGTATGAATGGACCACATTTCATTTATCCATTTTTTTCATTATGGACGTTTGGGTTGTGTCCCCCTTTTGGCTATAGTGAGTACTGCTGCTGTGAACATTGATAGTCAAGTTTTTGTTTGAACACCTGCTTTCATCTCTTTTGGGATTATACCTAGGAGTGGAATTGCTGAGTCATGTGATAATTATACATGTAATTTATTGAGCAGCCACCAAACTGTTTCCATAGTGGCTGTACCATTTTATGTTCCCGCCAGCAATGCACGGGCTCCAGTTTCTCCACATCCTCACCAATGCGTGCTGTTTTCCATTTGTTTTTGTTTTTGTTTTCGTTTTTGGCCACACCACATGGCTTGCAGGATCTTAGTTCCCTGACCAGGGATTGAACCCGGGCCCTCGGCAGTGAAAGCGCCGAGTCCTAACCACTGGACCACCAGGGAATTCCCTGTTTTCCATGGTTTTGATCACAGCCATCCTAGTGGATGTGAGGTGTTATCTGAACTGCTGCTGTTTCACCAGGTTCCCCTTCCTCCCATGTGTCAAGGCCACAGTGGCCTCTGGGCTGAGTGCAGGCAGCCTGGAAGCAGAGGCCCGGAGCTGAGCTGAGTGGCTCCCAGAACCTGCTGTCCTAGAAACCCCCTCCCATATTTTGGGAGCTGAAAACTCTGAGTTGGGGGAGTCTGAGGTGCAGAAGGTAAAGCTGGCCCTTGAGGGGAGGGAGCCCAAGGACAGAGCTAGTCTGTCTGAGTCGAGAGAAGGATGCAGTATGAACAGCCAAGGAAGGCTCTCTCAGGGGCTGTTACCACCAAGAGTCTGAGTTGGGGGTCTGAAGCTTAAAGAAGAGGGTGTGGGGAAGGCAGAGACACAGAAGGACAGGGAAGTTCTGGGGAAGACTCTTCACTTCTGCTAGTAGTGTTGAATAAATCAAACGGATTCATTTCAGTCAAAGTGCAGGCTAAATCTCATTACAGCAATACTAGCGAGTCCAACATGCATGCTCCCGCCTCGCACCGGAATTTCATTGGCAATTGTAACTGCCATTCCCACAGCACCGAGCACTTTCATGCAAGGGCTCCCGTAATCCCACAACAGCCCTCTGATGGAGGTACGGTCATTGCCCCGCTTTAAAGAAGAGGAAACAGAGGCACACAGAGAGGTCACGGGCCTTGCCCAGGAGCTCCTGCCAGGAAATGGCTCAGAGCCAGGTCCGTGTGAAGTACAACCCTACACAGTCTTGCCATCCGGCTGGAAGCAGCATTTCCCTGCCTGGGACTTGGAATAACAGGCTCCTAGACATAGAGGGTTCCTGGGGCGTGTTCTCCCCCATGCCTAGGAACACCTTCGCGTGGGGGACCTGTGTTTGAAATGCCTGCCTCTGGCCAGTCCCACGCAGGGCCTATATATTGACCTGAAGACAGGAGGGTGGCAAGTGTGGATTTCCAGATGAACAGCTCACTCTCAGCTCCTCTGCTGGCATGTCTGAGTCTCAGTTCCCCTCATCAGGAAAATGGGCGCCCAGCTGCACCACAGGAGCTTGTGGGGAGGACCTCTTTTTGTCACAGCTGCTCTCTCCTTCACTGAGTGACCCCAGCCAAGGCCGACATCTGGGGCACCTCAGCCTGATGTTAGGCTTCGAGGTTTAATTTACCGCTTAAACCTCACACAGCAGCTCTCAAGGACCCTGTCTGGTCTCCCACTTTGTCTTCTGAGAGCCTGGCCAGAGCAGCCTGCTGTGTCTGTGCACGGGGTGGGTGTTGTAACGTTTTAACCCTCAGCCCATTACTCAGCCCAGGGACTGGTAAGGAGGACAGCTCAGGAGGCAAAGGCAGGGGCAGGGTCCCCGGTGCTGCCAGAGCCTCTGGCAACCTCTATTCTCCTGCCCCAGAGGGGCTGCAAGTGCCTGCCAGGGGACACAGCTTCCCCACTGCCCCGAATTAGGAGGGAGCTCAGGAAGCTCTACCCCAGCTCTAGACCTAAAAGGCAAGGTCTGTTTCCTGTCTTTACAATGGTGTAATGACATCCACGGAGCTGTGGCTGGGAGGGGAATGAGAGGTCTACCAAAGCTGTCTATGGCACTTTGTGGGTGTGCGTGGAGGGCAAATAAATGCCCTTTTTTTTCTTTTGTCTGCCCACCTAGCCGGGAGGAAGCCTCCTAAGTAAACAGCTGCCCCCTCATCCCATTTTGATTTCTGAGGAGGAATCTCCTTCTGTCCCCAGTGAGGTGCACTGGGAAGGTGAGGTGATGGGGCAGATGCACTACGGTGCTTGGAGGTCACTGAACAGAAACCAAGCCGGCAGCTCTTCCATCCGCGACCACCCCAGGGGCGGCTGGGACTGCGGGAGAGGTTCTTGGGGGTCCTTGGCATGGGGTGCAAAGCGAGGGCGCACGCGGGGAGGATTCAGGACCCCGCCCCGAGGCCCACCGACCTCGATAAGTGGCAGCGCCCCCTCTGCCCCCACTGCCCTCCGAGGGCCGCCCAGAATCTGTCCACCCAGGCGCGGGACAGGGCGACTCCCCCGTGGCGCCGTGCCGCGGCGCCCAGTCCCTCCCGCAGGTCGCCGAGGGCGCCGGGGCCTCGCACCACACCTGTCCGCTCCTCCGGGAGGCCCCGGCGCCTCTGCTGCCGGCCCCTCGGCGCGGAGCCCTGTGTCCGCCGTCGCTTTGATCCCGGGGGCCCCGCTGGATAAAAGTCCCGGGAGGCTCCGCGCCAGCGCCAGAGGGGAGGCAGCCGAGCCGGGCGTACCAGGAGGCTGGCGCTGGGCGAGCGACGCCGAGGAGCCGGGGCCGCGGGGCCGCCCTCGCCGGCCGCGGTGAGCGCAGGGCTCCGGGCCGGTTCAGGGTGGGAGTTGCGGAGCGGGGTTCTGGTCGCCCGTGGGTTGCTGTGGGCCTGGGCGGCGGGGGCGAGGGGACCCCGGGGGCTCAGGTGAGCGCTCCCCCTGTGCCCCCCAGCCCGTCGGGCCGACCCGCCCCGTGGCGGACGGAGCTCCCCCCGCGCAGAAAAGCCCCGCTGCCCCCCCCCCGCCCCCCCCCCCCCGCCGCCGCCACCCCTTCCAGTCGCCCGGGGGCGGGGGCGGCGGCGCCGGGCTGGCCGCGATGAATGAGCCGCCGGGGCCGCCGGGCCGCGCTGCCCCCCACGGAGCCGGGCCGGGAGCGCCTCCGGCGGCCGCGGCGGGATAGTCCAGGCCCCTCCGTCAAGCTTGCGGTTTGGGAAGAAAAGGCGATGCCTCCGCCAAGAAAAGAGCGAGCGCGGCCCCCTCCCCCTCCGCCGAGCCCGGGCGGCGGCGGTGGCGGCACTTCTAACGCGCGGGCACCCGGGCCGCCGCGGCCCCCGCAAACTACGCCCAGGCTCGGCCCCCGCCGCTCATTGGCGCGGGCCGGAGCCAGCGCACCCAGACCCTGCGCTGCCCTCGGCCGGACGCGCGCGGAGCCCCAGCTGCCCAGGCCGACGGCGCCCGGCCCGAGAGCCTCGACGCCGAGCCGCCCTCGCCTCCTCTGCCGGGCCCAACGCAGGGAGCGGGGCGAACGAGCAGGCGCGGCTGGCGCCCCGCGGCCCGGGCGCCCCCGGCCCGGCGCCCTCGCCACCGCGCCGCCTCAAGGCCGCCCGCTCTCCGCAGGTGGCCGCGGGCCCGAGCAGCGCGGCCATGGGCCGAGGCGTGCGCGTGCTGCTGCTGCTGGGCCTGCTGCACTGGGCCGGGGGCGGCGAGGGCAGGAAGACCTGGCGGCGCCGCGGCCAGCAGCCACCCCCGCCGCCGCCCCCGCCGCGGGCCGAGGCGGCGACGGCGGCTGGGCAGCCGGTGGAGAGCTTCCCGCTGGACTTCACGGCCGTGGAAGGCAACATGGACAGCTTCATGGCACAGGTCAAGAGCCTGGCGCAGTCCCTGTACCCCTGCTCGGCACAGCAGCTCAACGAGGACCTGCGCCTGCACCTCCTGCTCAACACGTCGGTGACTTGCAACGACGGCAGCTCGGCCGGGTAAGGCCCGCCCCCGCCCGCCGCGACCGGCGCGCCCCCGCCGCTGGTTTCGGGGCCGCGGGCCGCCTCGTCGCCGGCGGGTTCGCACCACCCGCCTCCCTGTCCCCGCTCAGACGCACGGAGTCTCTGCACTGGACCCTCCCTGCTGGCCGCAGCGGTGCTCGCCCACAGGGGAAAGGGCTCCCGTCGGGTCTCGGAGGCGCTGGCCCCGGGAAGGGCCCTGCTCGGAGGCTTGCCGCGCGGGGGTGGGGCAGCGCTGGCAGCGCTGGTCGCGGGCCAGCCCGGGCACTGACCCCTCGGCCACCGGTGCCCAGCCCCTGTGCTTGCGTCCTTCGTTCCCTGGGCGGGGAGATGGCAGTCCGCGAGTGGCCCTGGCTCCAGCAGGAGGAGGTGACACAGGGGGGCGGGGAGAGTCCTGCCGTACCCCCACCCCCACACCAGCTCTACTCGCCCCGTCTGCTCCCTGCTGCTGCCGGGACTGCCAGGGAGCCCAGCCAGCCAGAGGGACAGGCAGGGGGCACAGGTGGGACAGAAGGACCTGGGGTGCAGCATTCACCCCTCTCCAAACGGAAGCAGATAAAAAAGAATGCGAGGCTGAGGGTTGGGGAGGGGTTGGGGGCGCCCATGCCCTCAGCGACTCCACAGCCCGAGGAACTGGACGTTAGGTCGGGCCTCGGAAGGAAGGTTGCGACCCTGCCTCGGTGGCGCCCTCGCCCCTCCACGCGCGCCTGTCCTACCCCAGTGCCCCTGCCCCACGCACACTCCTCCAGCGAGAGTGCTTTTCACTCTCCAAGCGCCACTGCGCGTCCCAGGAGGATCCCGAGCCCCAGCGAAGACCCCCCACCCCCGCCCGGCCGCCAGCGCCGAGGTTACAGCGGGTCTCTCGCGGGGCGGGCCGTGGGGATTTTCCACGGACCACACAACCCCTCGCCGCCCTTCCCCGCCCCGCGAGCGCCACCTCCCGGGACTGGCTGGCCGGACCGGGCGCGCTCTGCGGGGGCCTGGCCACTGGCGCCCCCGTGCGGTCCGCGCGCGCCCGGCGACAGGTGGAATGACCCCTTCCTTCCTGGAGCTGGGCCCTGCAGCCCCAGCTGACCGCCCGCTCCGCCCACTTCCCTTGCAGCTACTACCTGAAGGAATCCAAGGGCAGCCGGCGATGGCTACTGTTTCTGGAAGGTGCGTCCTAGGTGCGGAGGTGGCGGGGTGGGGGTGGGGGTCCACTCGGCACTGGACCCTGAGGTGGTGGCTGTGCCCGCAGGAGGCTGGTACTGCTTCAACCGGGAGAACTGCGACTCCCGATATGACACCATGCGGCGCCTCATGAGCTCCAAGGACTGGCCGCTCACTCGAACAGGTCAGCATGCCAGGGACTGACCAGGAGCCCCCACGGGGGGGGGGGGGAGGGGGTGGTGGTGGCGGGGGAAGGGGCTCACAATTGGAAGTCCTGGAAGAAGCTCCTCCTCTTTCACTCCCTAGAGGCCCAGAGAGGCCCCACCCCATCCATCCCCCCCCCTAAAGTTAGGGATCATTCATTCTCACCTTTCATTCTTCTTCCACAGGTAACTTCCCAGGGCTCACCCTGGCTGTGCAGTACACAGCTGGTCCCTAGGTCAAAATATCTGGTGGAAGGGGGGAGGTTGAGGGCCATGTCCAGATGTCACAGCCTGGCTGGTCATCCTGGCCATGGGGACTCCGTGGAGTAACTAAACCCATCCATTCATTCCCCACTTCCTCAGCCACCTTGGTTCAGGTGGGTGTCACCACCCACCTTCTTGCTGTGGCCGAGTAGGATGCCCCCACAGCCCCACACCTTCCTATAGTCCTCACCCCTGCATGCCCCCTCCCACCAGAAAGACCCACTGCCTCTGTCCTCCCCTGCCACAGGCACGGGGATCCTGTCCTCCCAGCCAGAGGAGAACCCCCACTGGTGGAACGCCAACATGGTGTAAGAGGGAGCCGGAAGGTCTTTCCTTGGGGGTCCTGTCCTTGGGGGTCCTGTCCTTGGGGGTCCTCCCTGGAGGATCCTTCCTAAGAGGTTCTTAGGGGGGAGTCCATCCTTGGGGATCCCATCCTTGAGGGGGTCTGGTCCTGGGAGAGGTCTTCCTAGGGGGTTCCTGTCCTCAGGAGTCCTTTCTGAGGAGGGTGGTCCTTCCTGGGGTCCTCGGGCAACAGAGAAGCATGGCGGGCTCACACCATCCCTGTGTCACAGCTTCATCCCCTACTGCTCCAGCGATGTCTGGAGTGGGGCTTCATCCAAGTCTGAGAAGAGTGAGTCCCCTGCCTTCCCCCAACTCCCCCCCACCCCTGACAGAGGCAGGGCAGGGAGGACGGAGCTTCTGGAGAAATACAGACTTTCAGCCTTGTAACTCCCTCTAACCCTTTGATAGTGTGTCCCAGGGTGCCTGCCCTCAGCACCCATTGCCTGGCTTGTTCATGGCTGGCCTGACCCCGGGGCGTCCTCACTCCTTGGTGTTCCCTGTGGGAGAGCCCCCAGCACAGCCTTGTGCACCTAACCCACCTCCCTCTAGTCTACCCAGACCCTGTTCCCATTCCCTCTAAGACCCTCCAGACCCCCAGCTATAGCCCTCCTTCTGCCAACCTGGGGGTGGGAGGCCTTGCTCTGTGTCCAGGCCCCCACTTGAAGCCACCCTCCTTCTCTGTGCAGACGAGTACGCCTTCATGGGCGCCCTCATCATCCAGGAGGTTGTGCGAGAGCTCTTGGGCAAAGGGCTGAGCGGGGCCAAGGTGCTGCTGCTGGCAGGGAGCAGGTGGGCTGGGCAGGGGCTGGGGTGGGAGTGTGGATGGAAGGGAGAAGATGGGGCTGAGCCAGGGCAAATGCATGACCGGGAGGCTCAGCATCACGGGGCATCTCAGAGGTTCGGCTCCCAGGTGCCATGTAGCTGGAAGCTGTCCAGAGGATGCTTCTGGGTCCATGGTTGTTGGGTGTGAGGGAAGCCTTGGACTGCAGTGACCTAGGCAGTTGGTTAGGGGTTAGCTGTGAACCCATGTAACACCAGGGCTGGGGTCCCTGTAGGCAGGATCACACCTGCTGGTCACTGTATCCCAGCAGGCATGTAGGGGACCCAGGGGACATCCAAGGAATGGACGGAGGGGCCTGGGGCACCTAGTTCATCTTAATTTTCAGATAAGGAAACTGAATCAGAGAGTGAGAGAGAGGAAGGGAAGGAGGGGTGGGAGGAAGTGGGATGACCTGACACTTAGCGCTGGGTCAGTGCTGGGAGCTCTGCCAGCCCTTCTCTGCCTCCAAGACCTCGAAGGGCCCAGGGGACTTACACATGAACACAGAACGTGTTGGCAGCTCAGAATGCTCTCAGATCCCTGCCCGCTTGGGGATGGGCTTGGGGATGGGCGGGCCCTGGTGGGTGAGTGTCCTCCTCACCTGCCTGGCCTGACATCCCGCCTTCCCTGCAGCGCGGGGGGCACAGGAGTGCTGCTGAACGTGGACCGCGTGGCCGAGCAGCTGGAGGAGCTGGGCTATCCAGCCATCCAGGTGCGGGGCCTGGCTGACTCTGGCTGGTTCCTGGACAACAAGCAGTACCGCCGCACAGACTGCATTGACACCATCACCTGCGCGCCCACGGAGGCCATCCGCCGGGGCATCAGGTGCCCTGGGAGGGAGGGCCCATCCTGTGCAGAGGGCCTGGGGTGTGGTGGCATCTGTGGGTGGAGAAGCTCATGGGAGGCCAGGGGCAGCCTAACCTGCGGCATGTGGCCTAGGTACTGGAATGGGGTGGTCCCGGAGCGCTGTAGGCGCCAGTTCAAGGAGGGCGAGGAGTGGAACTGCTTCTTTGGCTACAAAGTCTACCCAACCCTGCGCTGTGAGTGGGCATATGGGGCGGCGGGGGGTGTTTAGACTGTCTGCGCCTGCTGGAAACCCAGCCTGGAGTCCAGCCCTCAGAGGCTAGGCCCAGAGACCACGGTCCCACCTAGGATGGGTGACAAAGTCATCTGGGCTTGGCTGGGACGTTCCTGGTCTTAGCACTAGCAGTCCACTTGGTTCGAGGCAAACCAGGATGGTTAGTCATGTTTCCACATCCACGGTGAGGAATGCACTTTGGAGCTGGATCCCAGTGCTGCCCCTGTGTGGGGCCTTGGCTGTTCCCCCCAGCCCCACACTTGAAGGGACATCATCACCATGTTTTGGTCAAAGTAGAGTCCCTGGGAGCCAGGCCAAGAGGCGGGGAGGGAACAAGGCATCTCTTTAAGGAAGGGTGCTGGGGATGCTGGCGGCCGGCACCCTGCACAGAGAGCCCGGTTGGCCTGTGAGCCTGCTATGGAGCTGACTGCAGCCTCGGGCCCCTGAGCCTGGGGTGGGGGGCAGAGCACCGAGGCGAGGCCCATCTGAGCCGTCCCCCCAGGCCCGGTGTTCGTGGTACAGTGGCTGTTTGACGAGGCCCAGCTGACTGTGGACAATGTGCACCTCACGGGGCAGCCGGTGCAGGAGGGCCAGTGGCTGTACATCCAAAACCTGGGCCGTGAGCTGCGGAACACACTCAAGGACGTGCCGTGAGTGTGTTGGGGACCCCACTCAGCCCCCACCCCAAATATACAGTAAACCACTTGACTTAAAAAGAGAGAGAGGCCTCAAAGATGGAAAACAGGAAGCAGCCAAGGGGTCCTTGAGCACGTGACAAACTGTGGTCCACGTAGACAAGGCGATTTTACCCAGCGCTAGAAAGAAGTGAGCGATCGAGCTGCAAAAAGACAGGAGGAACCTTAAAGGCATGTTACCAAATGAAAGAAACCAATCTAAAAAGGCTACATGCTGTGTGATTCCAACTCTATGTCATCCTGGAAAAGGCAAAACTACGGACACAGTAAAAAGATCAGTGGCTGCCAGGGGTTGGGGGAGAGAGGTATGAATAGGTGGAGAACAGGAATTTTAGGCCTGAGGAACGACCGTGTATGACCACAATGGTGGATACATGGCATTATCCATTTGTCCAAACTCATAGAACGTACAACACCAAGAGTGAACCCTGATGTAAGCGTGAACCCTGATGTGAGCCCTGATGTACAGACTCTGGGTGGTAATGTTGTAAGAGTGAACCCTGATGTACAGACTCTAGGTGGTAATGATGTGTCAGTGTAGGTTCATTGATTGTAACAAATGTACCAGCTGGTGGGGGTTGTTGATGATGGGGGAGGCTGTGCGTGTATAAGAGCAGGGGATAAATGGGAGCTCTCTATGCCTTCCATTCAATTTTGATGTGAACCTAAAACTTCAATTAAAAGCTGAAGTATATTAAGAAAAAAAAGAAAGAAAAACAAAATATTCACCTGTCCAGGAGAGCCCCCACTCCGAGCAGGATTTGGAGGCCGGAAGGGACAGGGGTTAGTAGGGAGCATGTGTGCTGGGGGGGACAAGGCCTTGGGGAGCCGCTGGCTGGCACAGCGGCAGGAGGGAAGTAGGACGCAGGCAGGGGACAGCCTCCCAGTAGAGGGGGCTGGAGCTGCTGTGACCTGTGGGCTTTGGGGGTGGGGAAGGGCTGAGGTGGGACATGGTTGCTCACAGGTCGTCTTCTCCCCAGCAGGGCCAGCTTTGCCCCCGCCTGCCTCTCCCACGAGATCATCATCCGAAGGTCAGTGTCGCCAAGCCCCAGGGCAGCTCGCGTGTATGGCTCTCGCTCCAAGCATCCACAGTGCCCCACCCCCAGCAGGCCTGCCCACCGGCCTCCCCGGCTCTGGCTCCTTTCGGGGGCTTTCAAAATCACTTAGACAACCCACTCTGTGGCAAGAATTCACTGGTAGCAATGCCGTCCTCTGCTTTGGCCACACCTGAGTGACCCCCACCTGGGTTTCTGTCTGCAGCCACTGGACAGACGTCCAGGTAAAGGGGACCTCGCTGCCCCGGGCACTGCACTGCTGGGACAGAAGCCTCCATGACAGCCACAAGGCCAGCAAAGCTCCCCTGAAGGGCTGCCCCATCCACCTGGTGGACAGCTGCCCCTGGCCCCACTGCAACCCCTCTTGCCCCACCATCCGGGACCAGTTCACGGGGCAGGAGATGAACGTGGCCCAGTTCCTGATGCACATGGGCTTCGACGTGCAGACAGTGGCACAGCAGCAGGGCCTGGAGCCCAGTAAACTGCTGGGGATGCTGAGCAGCGGGAGCTAGGGCCCCGCCCACCTGCCCTCCAGGCCCTCCTGCCCTCCTAGGGCTGCAGGGCCCCGGCCATCCCCATCCTGGGTCTGGATGCCCTCCCCTGGCAGCCTTCACTGCCTCTTTCCCACTGCCTCTGGGAGGCCCAGCCTGAGATGGACCCACCGTCAGCCCAGCTGTGGCCCTGGGCCCCCTCCCATCCCTCCCTCCTGACTCCCGCCTCCAGCCCACAGTGGGGAGTCAGAAGCACTGGATTCCTCAGCCCCCAGCCCAGAAGGCCCCGCCCCAGCCCAGCCCCCAGCCTCGCCTGCCCTTTTGTATTATTTTATAAAGTGACTTTTTTTATTACTTTAATTTTTTAAAAAAGAAAAATAAGCAAGAAATATATAGTGAATGATATTGTTTTGTAACATATTTTTTTTAAATAATGAAGAAAAAAGATAACAAAAGAGCCTCACCCTGTAGATGTGTTTATTTGAGGGGGCACTTTGCCCACTTCACACCCCTCCCCCAACCCCGACCCCCCCCCCCCCCCCCCCCCCCCCCCCCCCCCCCCCCCCCGGGCGGCAGAGAGACTGGGGGCGACCACGGGGCCTCTTGCCCTTCAATCCCTGCTCCTTCTGTTCATCGTTTCAGCAAACAGCAGTGATGGGCTTGTTTCGGGCGAGCCCCCAGCAAGGTTTTATGCTCCCTTTCCTCTTTATTTTGTTCTTGGGGTGACCTTCACGCCGCAACCCCACCATTTCTAAGTGCATGACTCAGCATTTGTACATCCACAAGGTTTGTCTCTACCAGCAACCTCCACTTTCAAAACTTTATCACAAAACACTCCCTACCCAGCTAACACTTTCTTAGAAGTTCGTATTGTGTTTATTTTCACTACGTCACACATGCACATGGTCCAGAATTTGAAAGAAGCAAAGCTTTGGAGGGTGAAAATTCTCCCTCTGGCCAGCCCCTGGCTCTGTATCTGTGGCTAGTCCCAGAGGACCTGGCCTCCCATAAACACGTACACACACACACACACACACACACACACACACACACTACTTTTCCTTCCACATGTGACTGCATGCCATACACTTGCCGCCTGGTTTCTACTTCCCGTTGCATCTTGGGGCCGCGGAGAGCTCCATGCTGGCGGGACATGACCAGTGAGCAATGAGCTCTGTGCTTCATACCCTTTTCAGGTACGAAGGGTGCAGCGTGGCTAGCCTGTGTCAGCATCACTGCACGCGGCCGTCGTCTCTGTGGGACGCACCCAGAAGTGGCATGTGGGTCACAGACAGTAAGCAAGCACCTGTGGTTTCAGTGACACACTGATAAGCGCCCCCCCAGGTGGCCAGGTCATGACCCTCCAACAGACGTGGCTTCCTCAGCACTCCCTGCATTAAGTGTCCCACGCACGTGGCACCCTGATTCCTCCAGGCGCCGGGCAAGTAGGTCTTATTATAAAACCCCAATTTACAGATAAAGAAACTGAGGCCCAAAGAGGCTATGTGAAGGGTTGAAGGGACAGAGGGAGGATTCATGCCTGGGCTCTGCTCCCAGCCTCCGACCACCCAGCCTCTCTCAGGGAGTCTGCAGCCCCAGTCCCAGAGTAGGGAGAATCACAGAGACCCCATCGTCTCACCCGCGCCAAGACTGGGGGTGTCCCCTGAGGTCTTATCAGCTCTGGGCCCACCTGCGGCCCACTCATCACCAATGTCAGCTTCCCCAGGGGGAGCTAAGTGGCCCGATCATGGTTTCCTCTGTGGACCACTCTTGTGGGAAGCCACAGAGTCCCAGTGGCCAAGGGAAACAGTGAGGTCAGGGAGCGGGGTGGCAAAAGGCTAGAGATGAAAGAAGGGGTACCCAGGGGCAGCTGCTGGTTTGGGGGAGCAGCCCCATCCTTGGCCTCCCTGGAGGGCCATGGACAGGTCTCCCCATGTGACAGTGGGCTCCCAGCGGGAGAGGGGGCTGGGAGGACCTGGAAGGGGCCTGGCCTTCACCTACCTGGGGAGACTTGTTCGGAGGGAGGGGCCCATGCTTCGGTCAGAGCTGGGTGGGGGGGACCCCGGAGGTGCTGGCGCAAGACCAGTTCCTTGTGTGGAGAAGGGCGGCAGGCAGTGACATCAGCACAGACAGAGATGTCTTGCTCTGTTTGAGGTGGGCTGAAAAGAGTCAGAGGGTAGCTTTGTGTGTCTCAGGCATGCCAGGCTCACTGAATGTTATACTTGTGGGTTAGGCCCAGTGGGATTTCACCAAATGAATAAATCCCTTCTCCCCATGTTCCTGACAAAGAAGGAACATAGGAGAAAGGCCTACCTCCGGCCTCTGTGCTTTACCATGGGGACTAGTGGCAAAATGAGCCCAGGACCTGTAAGGACAGTGGGTGACGCCAAACCTGCAGTGCTCAGTGAGCCATCGATGTGACACACTGACTTCCCGACTTCTCTTTTTCTATTTTTTGTCCGTGCCACGCGGCATGCGGGATCTAAATTCCCTGACCAGGGATCGAACTTGTGCCGCCTGCAGTGGAAGCTCGAATTCTTAACCACTGGACCACCAGGAAGTCCCCAACTTTTCTAGAAATGTTGCTGCTTTACATTTTCCACATCACAGGCTTCCCGTAGCAGCAAAAATGCTCAGGACAGAAGCAACCAAGATTTCTTTTCCGTAGATGAACGGGTAAATAAACTGCAGTCCATCCAGACAATGGACCGTTACTCAGCACTAAGAAGAAATGAGCTATCAAGCCATGAAAAGACTGGAGGAACCTTAAATGCATATTATTAAGTGAAGGAAGCCAATCAGAAAAGGCTACATATGGTGTGATTCCAACTCTATGACATTCTAGAAAAGGCAAAACTATGGGGACAGTAAAAAGATCGCTAGTTGCCGGGGGTGAGGATGGGGCTGACTAGGTGGAGCACAGAGGATTCTTAGGGCAAAGAAACAACTCTGTATGGTCCCACAATATGGTGGGTACATGTCATCACACATTTGTCCAAATTCATAGAAGGTACAAAACCAAGAGTGAATGCTGATGTAAACTGTAGACTCTGGGTGATGATGACAGATCAGTGTAGGTTCATCGATGGTAAAAAATCAATGGTACATCACTCTGGTGGGGATGTAGATAATGGGGAGGCTGTGCCTGGTTAAGGGCAGGGAGTATACGGGACTCTCGGTGCTTTCTGCTCAGTTTTGATATGAGCCGTGTTGAGAGCACGGACCCTTGACGTGACGTGGTGAAAACAGCAGCTCCAAGAGGACAAAGACTCTGGTCTCCCTTGTTCGTTGCTGTTTCTCAGCGCCTAGAACGAGGCCTGGCACTCAGCAGCTACTGCAGAAGAACTTGTTTAGTGAATGAAAACATTAATCAGAAGCAATAGAAAAAAAAGTAATAACACACTCCGGGAAATGTTAAAGCCACAGGGAGATGTGAAGAGAAGACACTCCGGGAAACTTTAAAGCCACAGGGAGACGCGAAGAGAAGAAACCCAGAGGTTTTGGTAAAACCTGATATATGTGTACTACCTAGTTTTAATGACCTTTGCAGGCCCTTTTAGGAAAATTCTTTAAATATATTTTGAATAACATTGCTTTATTTGTACATGCAAATACTTGTTACAATGTGTGAAAGTTCACTCCAGCAGCAATGAGCACACCTGGCACCCAGACCTTAGTCTCTTACACCATCTCCAATAAGAGGAACCAGGGCTCCTTGGAAAACACCTAGCGGGAAACGTGCAGGATGAGCCCCGGGCATCTTGCAGTGCCTGCAGTGAGGAGGTGCCGAAAACCCCACCCCCATTGATGGGGGTACGTAAGGGGACACATGGAAGGCTTTGAGCAACAGAATAAAAAAATATAGTTTTGGACTATAACTCAAAGTATAAAATAAATGTGTAAAGTATAAAATAAAATAAAATAAAATAAATTTATAAATAAATTATAAATAATTTATTTATAAATAAATTAAATTAAATTTATAAATTAAATTAAATTTATAAATTAAATAAAATAAAATAAATTAAGTGGGGGAGAAAAAAAAATCTCTTTGCAGAGTTCCAAATAATTTAAGCATACACCCCCCTTAAGCGTGGGCCACGCATGGTGACATCCCGCCCCCAGAGAGAACAGGATGGAAAGGGGGAGAAAGAGGAACTCCCCAGTGGAGACACCTGACAGACACACCTCAGCCAAGTGACCAAGGGCACAGCCACGGTGAGGAGTCATGTGGAGAGCACAGGCCCTGAAGGGATGTAATGAGAAGAGGGCACTTTCCCTCTGTGGTCTCCCTCCCCCAAACCCATAAGCCCAGACTAATAATGAGAAAGACATCAGACAAACCAGCAGAGGGACAGTCTGCACCTCCTTGCCCAGCCCTCCTTCAAACCGTCGGGGTCGTTCAAACCAGGAAAGTCTGAGAGACCGTCCCAGCCAAGAGCAGCCGGAGGAGATGTGGTGACTAAATGTCCCACGTGGGGTCCGAGACAAGTCCTGGAGCAGCAGGAGGACATGAGGTTAAAACTGGGGAAACCTGAATAAAGTATTCACTTTCCTTAATAATAGTGTATTAATAATGATTTATCAATATTGGCTCATTAATTGTAACAAATGTCCCATAAGATGTTCCCAATAGGGGAATTCCCTGGTGGTCCAGCGGTTAAGACTCCACGCTTCCACTGCAGGGGGCCTAGGTTCAATCCCTGGCTGGGGAACTAAGATCCTGCAGTCTGCGTGGCGCAGCCAAATAAAATAATAAAGAGAATTAAAAAAAAAAAGGTGTTCCCAATAGAGCACACTGGATATGAGGTATATGGGAGCTCTATCAGTGCAGTTTCTTTTTGCATCTACAGCTGTTCTAAGAAAATAAAGTCTATTTAAAAATTTTGTAAAAGGAAGGTTTTTTTTTTTTTTAATCTTTTTTACTTTTTTGGCCACACTGTGCAGCACGCGGGATTTTAGTTCCCCGACCAGGGACTGAACCCATGCCCCCTGCAGTGGAAACTCAGAGTCTTAACCACTGGACCGCCAGGGAAGTCCTGTTTTCAATTTTTATTTTTATTTTTTATTTTATTTTTTAAAGCAAGTTTTGTATTCATACAAGAATATAAACCTATTTATACTTCATTTATTATTTTTTAATTTTTCATTTATTTATTTTAAAATTATTTATTTATTTATTTTTGACTGGGTTGGGTCTTTGTTGCTGCGTGGGGGTTTTCTCTAGTTGCTGCAAGCCAGGGCTACTCTTTGTTGTGGTGTGTGGGCTTCTCACTGCGGTGGCTTCTCTTGTT